ACTATGGTGAGCAACAATTTTTAAAGTGTGCTGCCTATAATTTATTAAATAATATAAGAAATAATGTTTTCGGTAGAGCAGCTTTAAGATAGAATACTACTGAACTTAAAAATAGTAAACAAATACTGCGTTAAGTGATTTTTTCATATCCAGGATCCCAAAACCGAAATTAGCCCAGACATCCGATTTAAATGTAACGGGTACATCTTTGATTACTGGTAATGTTGGCCCTGTATCCCTGTCCGCCATTTCTGCTTTAAATTGGCGCTAGGGCAATGCAGTGCGCATGTCATTGCAACTCTGCCCCCAGAAGTAATTATAAAACCTCAAAACTTTATTGTCCTTGCGCGTCCAGAACATAGACATGGACATAGGGAGAAAATCTCATTATGTCACATTGCTGCATCGATGCAGAATCATGCACGGCTGAATCGCGATGCATGTTAGAATCGATCATTTTTCCCACCTCTAATATATATATATAAACAGTAATAAAGTAATGTGAATGGAGTGGTAGAAGTCAAAAGGGCCTTTGAAAACACCACTCCACCATAATTTGTATTCTATAGGCTTACAATTAATTAATTAACAACAAAACAAAAAAAAAAACTGAGGAAAAGAAAAAAAATGAAGAAATTAATCACAACAGATATGTTGCCAACAAATTCTTTTTTAATTTAATTTTATATGTAGAGAGTGACCCGGAGTCATCTAAAAGGTTTATATGAGAATTCCATGCCTTGGGTCCCTGGTACTGAAGAGAAAACTGCTCGACTACATTTGTATAAGGGACGCTGTAAATTTGGAACCAATCTTGTTGGATATTGATGGATCTGATGATTATAAGTAAAATAATACTTTTGGGAGTCATGGGAGTTTGCCCAACCAATCCACTTGTTTTGTGGATTTGGAAAAGGCTTATGACCATGTCCCCATGGGTACCCTGTATGGGGTGGATGGTCTTTTGTTAAGGGCTATTCAGAGTTTGGTCCGCATTGCCAGCATTAAGTCAGACCTGTTCCCGGTGAGGGCTGGACTCCACCAGGGCTGCCCGTTAACACCGGTCCTGTTCATAATCTTTATTGACAGCATTTCTAGGCACAGCCGTGGTGTGGTGGATGTCGAGTTTGGTGGCAGAAGAATCTCGTCTCTGGTTTTTGCGGATGATGTGCGTCCTTCTAGCTTCATCAAGCTCGGACCTCCAGCTCTTGCTGGGGAGCTTCTCAGCAGTGTGTGAAGCTGCTGGGATGAGGATCAGCACCTCTAAATCTGAGACCATGGTTCTCGGCCAGAAAAGGGTTGTTTGCCAACTCCGGGTCGGGGGAGAAGTCCTCCCCCAAGTGGAGGAGTTTAAGTATCTCAGGGTCTTGTTTACGAGTTAGGGAAGAAGGAAGCGGGGGATCGACAGGCAGACTGGGACAGCATCTGCAATGATGCAATGCTGAACCGATCTGTCGTGGTGAAGAGGGAGCTGAGCCAGAAAATAAGGCTCTCAATTTACCGGTCGATCTACATCCTAATCTTTACCTATGGTCACACAAGCGGCCGAGTTTCCTTCACAGGGTGTCCGGGGTCAGCCTTAGGGATAGGGTAAGAACCTCAGACATCTGGGAGGGACTCGGAGTGGGCTGATGTAGTTTGGGCATCTGGTCAGGATGCATCCTTGACAACTCCCTCAGGAGGTGTTTTGGCCATGTCCTGCCAGCAGGAGGTCCCCGGGTCAACCCAGGACAACCTGGAGGAAATACTTCTTTAGGTTGGCCAGGCAATGCCTAGGTGTCCCAGCTGAGGAGCTGGTGGACTTGGCCAGGGAGAGGATTGCCTGGGAGGCCCTACTTGGGATGCTGCCCCCCGTGAACCGGACCCGTGCAAGCGGAGTAAGGTGAGATGACTTGAATTTCTTAAAATCCTTCAAGTGCATCTGGGGTGAATACAATGGGACTGAGAATACAGCAATGTGGCTCCTTCCAATGGTGAAGTCATGCCTCTTTTAAACGTGATTAATTAGACTTCCAGTGATGTAAGGTCTGTTGGTATTGCACTTATTTGCCTCAACTGTAACTTGAAACTGTGTAAATGATAAAATGCTTAAATAAGCCTGCACTTGTATAGCACCTTTCTGAGTGAGGGGGCTCCAAGTCGCCATTCACCCATTCACACACAAACTGTAATAAACCCCACTAAATAATCCTGTTTTTGTATAGCACCTTCTAGAGTTCTACAACCCCCCAAGGGTTGTCCAGTCATCCACCTACAGGCACACACATTCTTACGCTGGTGGTGAGCTACAGTGTAGCCAAAGTTGCCATGGGGCGCAATGACGGAAGTAAAGCTCATTGTTGCCACCGGTCCCTCTGACCATCACCAACAGGCAACATGGGTCAAGTGTCTTTCCCAAGGACTCAACGACTGTGACAGACCGAGCAAACCTGCAAACTCCTAATTACAGGGTGGGCACTTTATTCCTTTGTGACCATCGCACTGTAGCCATAGCTGCCCT